TCCCTGAACGGTACCTCATCGGATTCTTATCTCCTGGTTCTGACCCACGCATTCGCCTCTGGACTTCCGCCTTTCACCTTCGCCCCTGTCGGATCCCACCAGTCGTCTGTCTCCCGGTTTCTCGACCTCTGCTTCCGTCCCCTGACCTAGATGCCTCATCTCCGTTCTACAACAAGGACTTCACTGAAAGACGCTCTCTCGCCTTCCCTGTCAGGTGACGTCATCCAAGGGATTCCCCCGACAGCGCCGCTCGCTAGGAGGACTCCGGATTCCCGTGACGCAAGTCTGCTCTTCTGTTTCAATAAACTGTTTAAATCTTCTCTGGTGTGTGACAAATTGTGAAACTCAAAAAGCCCATTCATAACAGTGACGACACAGTTGGTGACTTGGCTCAAAGCATATTGTGATAGTGATATTTTGTAAACACGTGCAGACACATAGAGACACAGGCAAATGAATCTGTGGGTGGTACCAAACATGAAAATGTTATTTCTATTGTAGTTTTCACTTTTGGAAGAGGAGCCCACCAGCTCTGCTGCACGTAACTACAGCACAACTTTGTTTGGTTGCTTTGGAAATAAACCCATCAGCTGCGCTTCTCATGTCTTTCAGACAAAAGCAGCTCAGGGAGTGTTGCTGGTATTATTTACAGTTCCTGAGGAAACTACAGGTTTCTATAAATCCACCAGAAGTAAACAATTAAAAAGGTCACAGAGTGAAGTATAATATTACTGTGACAGTCACATAAGAGGTTCAAGAATAAGCAGTGAGACGGTGTTACCTCTAAAGAACAAGACAATRTCAGCAGAGTGCTTTAATGAGTTTGAGTTAACTGTCATGCACAAATTGTCTTATGTTGGTCAAAAGTTGAAAATTACTTTATGTGTAATCTCATGCAATTTCAAGAATAGCCTATTTTAGATCAATATCAGATAAACTGACAGAGTTTCTGTGTTTATTTTCAGGTTTAGAAAGTTTTCCAATGAAAAAGGAAAGATCTGTGCACCAACCTGCAATTGTTTTTTGAGTTCCAGACAGTGAGCCCAGATTATTTCAGCCTTCCTGAGCTTCACCTTTGTTTTCTTCAAAGAAGTCTCCAGCGCATGAATTTTCTGAGGACAAACGAGTCATTGTTCAGCAAAGTGTAATGTATTGACCCCTGAAACCTCACTTAAGGCCTCTGAGAACATTTTGACCTAAGGACAGCAGGAGGGTTAAAAAAAAAGGTCAGTACCATCTTGGCATCCTCTTCTCCAGCCCAAACGTCAGAGGACGCTGCTCCCTCGCTGCCTTCTGGTCTCTTCAGGTTGCACTCCATCTTAAGCTCATCCAGGCGCTGCTGGTAGGTCTGCGTGGTGTGTTTCATGGCATTGAGGTGGCCTTTTTCGCACAGCACCATCCCATCTAGTTTTTTGATGGCATCCTGAGAAAAACAAAGAAAATCAGCTAAATCAAACCTATATTTTATGTAAAAAAAAGAACCATCTGATGCCTCTTATCTCTACTGACATRCCGTGGAAGGCATTCATCTCTGAGCCTCTGTTTTGAAAAGCCCTCCTAATAACTTTTTCATCACCCTGAAGCAGACACTTCAGTGAGAAATACACTCATTGATCTTTTTGAGCATGGTTGAGATTAACAACAAACATTTAAACAACAAATAAGAGCAGTAAGGTCAGTTTGGTGAAGATTACTTTGACTTACAGCTTTAGCCAGTTTTTTGCGTAATGATTCGTTTTCCTCTCTCAGCTGACGGATATAGTCTTCGTTTATCTGGATTGTGGACTGAGCTCCCATTTTATGCGTCCCTTCCGCCATCTAGTGGACAAATAAATAAAAAATAACAAGAAGCAGGATATTTTGTCTAGTGTTCAAATTGTCATCTATTATCAGGACAGTTATATCGTTAAAATACCGAGGCACCGCTAACATATTAGCTAGCTAGCTAATTAGCTAARGGCATAAACTCACATTTTAARGRTAAATGAGTATGAAACAAACTTAGCCAATAGTTAAATTTTAAGTTTTATCTTCGATTTTTGGTCGTGAAGTGGAGATTTACCTTTGTCAGCAGTGAGAGACCTCTTTTTTATGTTGATCGTAAAAATATGCTAACAGTCTGTTTCAGGTATCTGGCGGCTGTATTAAATATTACTAAGAAACGTCGAACTAAAGTGATCATGAAGTTGCATTCAAGATACCTCGGAATTCCCACTTCAACGGGCGGTCCTGTTGATACTGTGATCAAAATCGGAAACTTCCGAGTGGAACGTGAACGAACCACAACATTTCTAATGTAATGTTGTGATGATATGATATGATACTGTAAATGATATGATTTATGATTTTTTTCCTTTGAGAATTCTGGGAATTTTAGAGGACAAAACAAACTTTGATCTTAGAAAATATTTTCAGTAATAGCCTCATAAAGCTGAAACTTAAAGACACACAAATTTTACATGCATCAAATTTTGGTACAAAATGTAACACTTGACCCTTTTTTCTTAGCAAACTTAAACAAAACACAAGTTTATTAGTTTACAACAAAAACACAGTGTAAAACATATACACTTAACATGTTTGCACCAAAAATATTTGTTTATTACAAAAAAAGTGAAAATGAATGTTGAACTATTTGTATTGTCTCATGGCTTTTAATGACTTTGGTAAATTATTTTTCTAAACAATAATATTTAGTTTGTTCAACTGATAAATAACATCTGACTTATAAACGCTTTCAGACTGACTTGCTGTCAGAAATTATAAACCATAATGTATAACATATTATATAGAATTACCTCATAGGAGAGTCAGTTTGTCAGTTATTTACAGGTTTTGCAGCTAATATTTATTCTTTAATTAATTCATTTGAACTAAGGCAGGTTTTCAACAAGGAGCTGGTTGTAACACAAAATAATATAATTTTACTGTGAGAAATAAAATGTTGCACACATACATCCAAATAATAGTACAGTAAATTC